TGGCTTGCACAGATTTATTGTAGGTGTGATTAAGTCCTGTATAACTGGTTAGTCTGTTTATATTTGCCAATAGTTTAAAGAGTAATCTGCCATATAAAGACTAGTCTATATGTGTCTGAGATAGAATAACCTTATGAATAGTCCATTTGTGGCTAAGTTAAAGAAGATTCCATTTACAATTTTCTGTTTAGGAATTTTACAAAAAATTAGCTTCACTGTAACTAACAGCAATAGCTGCAATAAGAAAGTGGTGGTGTTTGCTTTGCCTTCCACTGAATAAAGTAGCTGATGAGTTGTAATACTTTGATCACCATCTATTATGTCTCTTCCAATTTGAGCACCTTGCAAATTCTTATCTCTGCCCTTCAGGGTCATCAGAATGAAAGACACTGTATGGTGGCTTGCGTGTGTAGCCCCTGTTTTTGAAGGAGAGCATTAGCATCTCTCAGCTTGAGACTGCTCTTCCTGGCTTCAGCCTCTCTTGGTAACTTTGCTCAAATCAGTTGAATTTCTAGGGCTCCAGCAATGATCCAGAGTATCCATGGGTCCTGTTCTCATGAAACCAGTGGAAGAAATTCTGGAGGCTTCCCTTTTTCTGTCTGTGAGCCACGGCGGAAACTCTTGATGACAGTTGTTTTCCCTTCTGCCCTCACCCCCCAGTAGTTCTTCTGCCAAGAGGATGAGGCAGCCTGAACTCCTGGCTGTGGTGACCCATATCGTCTTGCCAGCCTGCTGCCTGTCTTCAAGAACTGGTGCAATGGCTTCTTTTTTTAGTTCTTAGTGACAACTAAATTGCTGTTATTATAGCTAGAGTCCTGGTAAGTTGCATTATTGAGATTTGTGGCTGGAGTCCATGTAGGATTAATTATCAGCAAAACAATTAGCTAACGATTTCTGTTTTTCTTATCAGTGTTGTTGAACCATTACTTCAGTGATTCTTTCCAGTGACCAGTCAGTAACTTACAGTTGTCAGTTTTCTATATCGGGTATGCTTTGTTTGTTTACTTTTATAAGGATTCTGAGTAGCTGACTTTTTAATTTTTTTCTTTTTTTAAGTTTTTGGGTTTTATTTAAATTCTTGCGGTTTCAGCAGTATCTAAAATAGGTCTTACAGTTTGCAGGCTTGAAGTGTGAGTTTGCTTGTCACCTCATTCTTCCTGCCTTTTTCCTTTAGTGTCAATTCCTTGCAAGCTTTGAATAAGGATCAGAAATAGGACCTTTGCTTAAACCATGCTTTCAGGAGCTTTAATTAAGTTGGCTTTGGCAGATGAGTTCCCATTCATCTTTATCTGCTTCCTTTTGTGTGAGCTGTTCTCAGCTGTCACACAGATGCTCAGGTGTCTGCTGACAGTACTTTTAATCTTACAGTATCGAGCCTTTGTCTTTTGAAGGACAAGGCTGACAGCTGAAGTCTTTGTGTGAACTTGGGGATCACCTTCTATCTCTACCACCCGCTCTTGATTCCAAATCCAAGGGGAGGTTGTTGCTTCCTCGAGACATCTACTGTTAAAGCAGGAAGTGCTGAATTCTAATTAATTACAAGGGCAGTCTGGCTCTTGGAAAGTATGAAGAGGTCAGTGCAGATGAGAAAGCTTGTTTGAAGCAGTTTCCCAGCCTGGTCCAGCTCAGATGGAGACAGGCTGGTTGCTGTAACACTGCTGAAGTTCATGATGGGAATGCTGTGCTCTTGAGTGCGAGAAATAAAATTTATTTTTTCGTATACCTGAGAGCAGAAGTACTTGGGCATGGTAGAAAGGAAGTAGGCTCAGGTGGTGAGTGCCTTGGGGGAGCTGGGGAAAGTTTGGTGACCAACAGCAGCAGTGCTAACAACACTTCTTGGAGCAGGCTGAACTGTCTGTGGCTTTGGGCTAGCAGCAGCGGCAGCTCTTGTCATGACAGGCTGTCAGCATCCTTGTGGCAGCCATCTCAGCACAGCCTGGTGATTTGTGCCGTGACTTGTGATGACCCGTTGGGTACTGTGCAGAGCTGGGGAAACTGGGGCAGGCTTCCATCCTAACTGCCTATGTGTGCTGCCAGAGGAGAGGGGCTGGCAGCAGCTGGGGCATCAGGAAAGAGCTGTGATGGACTATGAATATTGCAACTTCTGTACATTGTGCACGCAAGCGGTAACCAAATCCAGGCCTAGTTCTGTCCTTGCTGTTCCAGCTGATAATCCCAAAGGTTACCTTGATGCTGGTACCAGTACTGCAAGTACATGTCATTAGCTCCCCAGTTGTGATATTTGTGCTCTGGGCAGTAGTTCATATGTCCTACTGTCTGGATGATTGGCTAATGAAGGACGAAACAGTGGAAGTGGTCCAAGGATTAATGCAGAACCATCAGGCACTGTTTGCCTTTATTTAATTGATACTGCGAGGAGACTGGCTGGCTGTGCCAGCGAATGGTTCAGAGTAGCTGAAATTGTGGGAGCTGCTTTTCCAGTTCAAGGCTACATTTGTTGAGCGTGGCTCTGTGCTTTCCCCTGTAAACGCCCGATTGATGCCTCTAAACTTGTTGAGAACAAAATCTGTTTTTCTCCTGTGGAAGAAGAGTTTTTGCTTTTTTGTTGTGTGTTTTGATGGGTAAATGGAAGGTGTTTAATTTCTTTTGTGTGCTGGGGCTTGAGTTTCAAACTAATGTTCCTAAGTTAAGCAAGCATTCATTTAACTTCCTCTAATGTTTGTTGTTTTAGTTGAACTTTTCATCCAAAATTCGTGCTGGGATGGAAGCCATTGCCAAAACTGAAGATCAAGTTAAAAGAAACCCCAACCAAACAACATCACCTCCCCCCATTTCTTTTTTTTGTTTTGTTTTGTTTTAAGTCAGCTGTAACTTGTAGCATGCATGAAACCTGTACATGAGAATACTCTGCCTCATATGATGCCAGTATGCTGAGACTGGATAAAGATCCCTTTCTCTTATCCTAACGAGTTCAAAATGGACCTTAAAGGTCATTCAGGATGGTGGTTGGGCATAAGTATTTCTGGTTCCTTTTGTGAAGAAAATAGGCTGTTAAAATTTTTTTAAAGACTATTGTATCTTAAAACAACTTAGCATGTTAATCCTATTTCTTGTCTGGTTTTGGCAGTACTTACAGCAGCAAGGTGTTCCGTGTTACCTTCTTGACTTTGGCTGCATCTGTAACTGTGCCCCTGCTTGGAGTAACTGTTCTACTGGATTGTCCTATAGACCCTCAGCCTATAAGGTAAATTGTTGCTTTGTTTTGAAATAAGTGTTATTGAAGTGTAACTTCTTGTATGTATTCTGTTGGTTGTTTTGTTTTGTTTTTCCCAGCAAACAAGAGTCAACTGTGTAAAGTGGTTCTAACTGGATTATGAAACTGGGGAGTGATTGCAGTATTATCCATTGCCATGGCTTGCTTCACATACCCCGTCTGTTTCTGAGCTATCTTGTGCAGTTGTGTGTCACTACTGATCACGGAAGGAGCTGAATTACTTTCTTTGATCATTAATCTAGAAAATGATTTTCTGCTGTTCAAGCTGTCAGTGGAGCTTGTGATTACTTATGTGCACTCTTGCCTTCTGTGGGACAAGAACTGCGTTTTCACTAAGCAGCAAGCTGTACCCCGGCTATTATAGTTCTGTCAAAGAGAGACTGTTTATCTGAGGGTGGAAATTGAAACGGATAACCTGACTGAGTTGATTTGGCGCTTTGTACCAGCGGACCCATATGGTGATGTTATATTTAAATGCAGATCTCATAAAGCAATGCAGCTAGGTGATTTCTGCCCTGTCTGAATTCATAAACATCTGAATCAAGGTCTGTATCAAATGTGTAGTGTAACAGTGAATCAACTATGTGAGGTGATGTGACCTGTGTTGGGAGAAGTTGTTTGTGAAGTGCTTTGACTGCTATCATAGGGTGGAGTCAGGCTGTTTAGTGCTCCTGGCATTTTGAAGTAAGTGAAAATGCTCAGTCTGCTAAATATTTATGATCAACTTGATAATTCCTTAATGAAAAGGAACAACAACACTGTAAATATCCCTAGAGTTGAAAGAAACTGTTAATGTGGTAGGGTAGTACTTACAAGTCTTGCCAATAGGCTATTAGACATAAGCTGCCTCATTGCAAATCATAATTAAATGCTTTCTGCTGTGGTTGGGTTTAACAAAACCCAATTCCCTGAAATACATCACAACTGAACAGTAATTCTGAAAGCCTATAGGACGCGTCTATAATGCTTTCTTTTCCTATTATATAGTCCTGGTCTAATGCTGGTCCAGGGTAACAATGTTCTGCATGGTTACGTTTCTTACTTTTCCCTTTTACAAGACCAGGAGAACAATTCTGCTCTGCCCAAGTCACTGGCTTATATTGCTGTACATTCTTAATTAGCTTCTTAGCTTCACTGCCAGAAGTGGTTCCAGTCTGTACAATAGATAGGATGATTCTGTGTGATGTTTCTGAAATGTTTTGAAAAAGGTGAAGGAGGTAGATGCTGCTTGAATCAATCCTTTCAGTGAAAGAACACCTAGAAATCTCATTTGCTAATAGTGATGTTATTCCTGTAAGCCACTGAAAATAATGAGGAATAAGAGGTGGGAGAAAAAAAGCAGATGTGATCTGTGAAACTCCATGTGAAATTCCTGCAACTCTGGTTTATTTCACCTTTTTTCTCTGTGAGCCTGTCTTAGATAATATTGGTCCCAGGGAGGATTTTGTGCTTGGAAACACAACTGTCCAGGGTTCCCAGCAAATGCGTTCCTTATCTGAAGCCTGTCATCCTCATCTGAAACTCTCTAATGCTTGGAAGAAGGGATGGAAAACGAATTTGTGTTAGTATTGTGAAGACAACTCTGCTGAAAATCTTCTGTGGACAGGAGCAAGTAATTTAGTTGCCTTTGCCACTGCAGTAACGCATACTTAAAGGAAAGTTTGCTGTCTGTAACCAGACAGATAAAAGTGTGTATTTTTCTCTCCTTCTGAATTATTTGTGTTGTGAACCTGTTTTCCTCAATTGTCATGGCTTTTATAGGTTGCAATTTCAGTTGACTTTTTTTCCCTCAGTCACTGAAGCTCTAGAAATTGTAATGATTTTCACTGTATGAGCAGTAGAGTTGCAATGTGGTTGGTGACAAATAGGTCCTGGATCCTGTGAACCTGGGCAAGTTTTGGAGTCAAACCTCATCTTTTTAAGATTGATTCTACAGGTGGAAGGCATTTACTTATGGTCATATAAGGAGTTACTTAAAAAAAAAAATATTGAAAAATTCTTTCAGAACTTGGCCTAGGGAGCTTTAGCATACTCTTGTGAATGAACACCTAATGAGCTTACCACCCTGGGCATGTATGCAGCTTTTTAGTAATAACTTGAAATCCTTAACTCATGGAGACTGAGGTGGCTTATGTGTGTGTTTTTAAGAACCTGAGAGACTGAAACATATTTGAGTTTGTCAGCACAGTTAAGGCTGGTTTTGAAGCACGGTGCTTTGGATCCTGGTATTTAAGTTGAAGCTGTGTAGGCATCTTACTACTTCCCTTCTCTGTATCTCTGTAGTTGGTTAGAACTCCAGTTGGCTTGAACCTGGCTATTTATGTGAATAAGGGCTTGCACGACTGGACCTTATTTTGTCATTTTGAGATTTCAGTTCAATAACCTCTAAGTTTATGTGCAACTTATTCCTTTGAGTTGGTCTTTCTCTACGGGCATGCATTCAAGTCATGAACAAGAATATACCATACAGTATGGTATGAAAGCATGTGTGTCCTAGCGCTCAAACTACTGGAACACTTTTTTTCCCCTAGTTGTATGCTAATTAGTAATTAAAAATTATTTTTTCTCCGTGATGAAAATGCTATGCAGTGTCAGATCTCAGTATATTGTAAAATGCCAGGCTTTTAAATGTTAAAACCTTTTTGCTTAGGAATTTGCATATGTCTACTTAGGAAAAATATTCTGGTACAAACAACTCATTCAGCTGAGTAAGAAAGCAGTTATTCTTTTGTGTTGTGGTAATGCCGAAATTCTTTGCCTTTGTGTAAGATAGATGAACTGGGAAGGTGTTGTTGGACTTAAAGCTGTATAGATTTCCAGATACAGCTTAGGAACACGTAACTGCAACTCTTCTGATCAGCAGAACCAGAAAATTATGATCCTTGATGAACAGGAGTCAATTTTTCAGCTTGTCAGCTGTGTTTTCTGTTTGGAAATATGCTTTATGTAAAGCATAGGTCAGGTTTGCAGGAGGTGGCAAACTAGGAAAACAATGACCCAATACGTTGCTCAAGAGTATTTGCAGATTTGTGCAAAGGATCATGAGGTCTGTGTTCTGTTTTGCAGTTTGAAGGAACCTCCCCTCCTGACGGGTGTGCTAGAGCCCAATATCAAGTTACGCAAAGCTGAACGGTTATGGGAAAACCAGCTGGTCGGACCAGAGTCCATTGCCAATATTGGGGGTAAGCACTGACAAGATAAGCTTTTAAAGAATGGTCTTTAAATGTTGCTCCGTTGATAAGGGTTTGTTCAGCAATATAGCTCTTACGTAACAAACTGGAGAAGTTATTTTGAATATGCAGGCTTTTAAAAAAATAATTGTGTTATGCAGCAAAACCTGGCTGCTGTGTACTGCTTTTCTCCTTTCCCCAGTATAAAATAAATCTGCTTGCCAGCTTAAAAATCCCTATCTTCCAGGACTGAAACCATCAGCAATGTAGTCAGGGGCTACTTATGTTTGACCCAGACTGGCCCAAGGGCTATTCCATACCATGTGACGTCATGCTCAGTATATAAGCTGGGGGAAGAAGAGGGAAGGAGGGGGACATTGGGTATGATGACGTTTGTCTTCCCAAGTAACCGTTATGCGTGATGGAGCCCTGCTTTTCTGGAGATGGCTGAACACCTGCCTGCTGATGGGAAGTAGTGAATGAATTCCTTGTTTTGCTTTGTTTGCGTGCACGGTTTTTGCTTTGCCTATTTAACTGTTCTAATTTATTTTACTTCAATTATTAAACTGTTCTTATCTCAACCCACGAGTTTTCTCCCTTTTACCCTTCTGATTCTCTCCCCCATCCCACTGGTGGGGAGTGAGCGAGCGGCTGCGTGGTGCTTAGTTACTGGCTGGGGTTAAACCACGACAATAGTATATTTACATTTTAGTGCTGTTGCATGCATTACATGTGCCATCCACTTCTTTCTTACCGCACGTGTGTTCTCCCCAAATCACAAACCCATGCCACCTCTGAGCAGTTTCTTAATGAGTTGGCTAGGCTTGTAATGGCGTGACACCTACTTGGCAGGAAAGCAG